CTACAAATGACCCAATTTCTTTCTTTTGTATGACTGAGTAATATTCCATTGAATATACATACTATATCTTCTTTATCCATTCATCTGTCAATGAATATCTAGGTTGCTTCCAAGTCCTGGCTAAATATTGTAAACAGTGCTGCAGTGAACATTGAAGTGCATGTGTACTTTTGAATTATGATTTTCTCAGGGTACATGCCGAGTAGTGGGATTGCTGGGTCATATGGTAGTTCTATTTTTAGTTTTTTAAGGAACCGTCATACTGTTTTCCGTAGTGGCTATATCAATTTACATTCCCATCAACAGTGCAAGAGGGTTCCCTTTTCTCTACACCTTCTTCAGCATTTATTGTTTGTAGATCTTTTGATGATGGCCATTCTGAACAGTGTGAGGTGTTACCTGACTGTGGTTTTGATCTGCATTTCTCTAATATTTAGTCATGTTGAGCTGTGTTGATTCATGAGTCATGTTTGTTGGCCATCTGTATGTCTTCTTTGGAGAAATGTCTTACTTAGGTCTTCTGACCATTTTTGATTGGATTGTTTGTCTTTTTGTTATTGAGCTGAATGAGCCATTCGTATATTTTGGAGATTAATCCCTTTTCAGTTGCTTTGTTTGCAAACATTTTCTCCCATTCTGAGAATTGTCTTTTCATCTCATTATGGTTTTCTTTGCTGTGCAAAAGCTTTTAAGTTTAATTAGGTTGAATTTATTCTTGTTTTTATTTTCATTACTCTAGAAGATGAGTCAAAAAAGATCCTAAGAGTTTTATAGCTGTGGCACACAGGCTTAGTTGCTCCATGAGATGTGGGATCTTCCCAGACCAGGGATCAAACCTATGTCCCCTGCATTGGCAGGTGGATTCTTAACCACTGAATCATCAAGAAAGTCTCACTTTAAATTTTTTTAATAAAACTCAGTTGAAGATATTTTTCTTGGGTTCATGAATCACTATTTAAGCATGTATTTTATAGCAGCTCTGCCCATTGACTTAAAGTGTGAATAACACAAGATAGAGAATAAAAGCAAACTACTCATAGCTTTTGGTTGATATTTCTAGTCATAAGACTAGTTAATGGCCATGGATCATATACTAAATATTCATGAAGGCCTTGTAACAGGCTATTAATAGTCTCTTAAAGGGATTGTACCATTTATCTGAATTCAGAAGACTATGGTACCAAAAGCCCCATGGATGCCTCTGGCAGTGTATTTCTGCCATAGGCTCTAATAAGCAGTTGGAGAGGTTGCTAAGATCTATAACCCAAACACAAATGTGAACCAGAGGGGCCAAGGGGATGGATAGAGCTGGAGACCTGTTGGGGGGCCTCCAGGGCATCATATTGTCATGTCCTACTCAAAGTAGAAACCAAAAATTGTATCTTAATAGACAGATGCCATCAAGATGACCACATGGTGAATGTCAAAGTACCAATAGCCAAAAAGTTCCACCAATCATTGGGTCTCCTTTGTATTTGCTGGGGTTTAAAGGAACTAAAGCTTGGCAATTGCTGCCTATGGAATGAGTCATACTTACCCTTCTCAGTTTACCCCCAGAGATTTCACTTGGATATCAGGTCCTGGTACTTTTTCTGTATTAATAGCCCAGCTTTCTTGTCACATGTAATTCCACATGCTTTCTGTCTTTGTTGGGTAATGCTCTTGCCTAGGCCTAGTGGAGGATATTGTTAACATAGGGGTGGCTAGGACTCTCCATGTGGGAGTGGGACTTTTTTCCAGGTCATGGCCTTGTGGAAAGACTTTAAAGTTGTACTGCAACTCATTATATGTATGGCAGACTGATCTTGATCTTCTCTATGGACAAGTGAAATGAAAGTTGCTCAGTTGTGTCTGACTCTTTGCAACCCCATGGACTGTCCATGGAATTCTCCAGGCCAGAATACTGAAGTGGGTAGCCTTTCCCTTCTCCAGGCGATTTTCCCAACCCAGGGATCGAACCCAGGCCTCCTGAATTGCAGGTGGATTCTTTACTAGCTGAGTCACAAGAGAAGCCCAAAAACACTGGACTGGTTAGCCTATCCCTTCTCCAGGGGATCTTCCCAACCCAGGAATCGAACTGGGGTATCCTGCATTGCAGGCAAATTCTTTACCAGCTGAGCTATCAGAGAAGCCCTTTCTATGGACAGGGATGCTAAAAGAGACATTTGCAATGTCAACTTCTTTGTTCTTTACTCAGCTTAAGCAGGGACCACCTTACAGAACCTGCCTGGGCATAGGAGACTCAAGAGACGTGAGTTTGATCCCTGGGTCAGGAAGATCCCTTGGAGAAGGAAATGGCAACCCACTCCAGTATTCTTGCCTTGGAAATACCATGGAAAGAGGAGCCTAGTGGGCTATAATCCATGGTGTCACAAAAGGCGGACATGACTTAGTGACTAAACCACCACCACTACCACCACAGTTTAGGCAACAGCCTCTATGACTGTTGTAATTTCAGGTAACACCAGTATCCATGCTACATGACTGCATTCAGTTCAGTTCAGTCCAGTCACTCAATCATGTCCGACTCTTTGCGACCCCATGAACCGCAGCATGCCAGGCCTCCCTGTCCATCGCCAACTCCTGGAGTTTACCCAAACTCATGTCCATTGAGTTGGTGATACCATCTAACCATCTCATCCTCTGTCGTCCCCTTCTCCTCCTGCCTTCAATCTTTCCCAACATCAGGGTCTTTTCAAATGAGTCAGTTATTCGCATCAGGTGGCCAAAATATTGAAGTTTCAGCTTCAACATCAGTCCTTTCAATGAACACCAGGACTGATCTCCTTTAGGATGGACTGCTAGGATCTCCTTGCAGTCCAAAGGACTCTCAAGAGTCTTCTCCAACACCACAGCTCAAAAGCATCAGTTCTTCTGCACTCAGCGTTAAGCCTCTAATAATCAGTTGACTCTCTATATACCTGAGGCCTCATCCACAGGCCAGATGGGGTTACTGAAATGGAGAAATAGTCTTGTGGAGAACTTTTGCTTCATTAAGCTCAATAATGAGCTTTTAATCCTCTGGGTAGTTGCTTTGTCCATCAAAGGCACTAGGTACTGGTAGTTTGTTAGGTTCAGTTTTTTATGAAGGGCCACTGAAATGGCCTCAGTTGTAAGATTTCTGAGCATGGATTGGGGATAAATGTGCGCACACACACACACACACACATACACACACTTTAGTCATCTTGCTCCAAAAAGACCAAAGAATGAAATTCTTCCTCACCTCCCCATCCTCATGTTGGGGAGAGGGGAGATTTGTAAAAACATCCTCATGTTCCCAGTGGGGACACAAGGGCCTTGGCCTAACTCATAGTCTTGTTTATTTTTAAAGTTAAGAGACCTGGATACAAGTAAGGGGATGCACTCTGATTCATGTCAGGATTCACTGGAAGGGTTGGAGAGAATGTTACTTTCATTAGTCATTGGAGTTATCAGTATGTGGACCCCATTGTGCCCAAAGGTCATTATCTAGTCCCAGATATCTGATGAAGAGCCTGTCTGTCTCCTCCTTGAGACCTACTGTTGGGTAAGAAAACCCATAGATGTCTTTGGGAAAGATCTTGACCCTGTGATCCAGGAGTAAGTACCCTATTGCCGTTTTTACATCACTCTGAGTACTAGTGAAAAGTTAGTGTCTTGCCAGTAGCTTCTTTTCCTTTGCTTGGAAAATTTTCAGTTCACATATAGATTGTGCCATGAACCAATTGATATCACTTTATGAGGAGGTTTTTTTTTTTTTTTTTTTATGAGGAGGTTTAATTGAGCCAGGTAACCAGGTAGGGTGGCAAGAATGAACTTAGATCTGAGTCTGGTAAACAGTCTCATCATTTACTTTTCTCACTTTCTTAAATTGAATCAAGGGACTATCAAGTGGCTTGCAGAGCACCTTACCGGGTGGCTGTAAAGGTGAGCCAAAAAATTTTTTTGAGAACTAAGTTTTTTGAGAATTGTTTGAGAACTAACCACCACTGGACCAGTCAAGAGCAAATAACAGCTAGTAAAGGAAGGAGAGGCTCAGGTGTACATGACTTTTCTCCCACCTGCTGCATTCTTCATCCTCCTCGGGCATAGTAGCCATGGAAGATGTTCTGAAAGAGGGGGTCTGCAGTGACACACCAGAAAAGGTGCTGGTGTCCCTAGTTAACTTCAACAATATTACTTTCCTTATAGTGGACTCAAACCATCTGAATCTCTGTCATTTGTCTGTGTCGCTGGGCAAAGCAACCCCTGGGGCTCTACCTACTTTGTCATTAAATGTGAGAAACAGTTGTTGTATTGAGGATGTCATCACTGCCAGCAACATGTTTAGATTTAATAGTAGTCATTGCAACCAGTTCTGCATGCAACTTCTGGTGACCAAATACATTGTTTTCTCTTTCGCTTTCCTGAATTTCTTTTTCTAAAGGTAAATATCTGATATTTTCTCTTTATTTCTTACTCTCTTCTTTCCTAAAAAATAGAATATTTGATACCTTCTCTTTCCATTTTTTTGTTTATTCCTAACCTCTCATCTAGCAATCCTTCCAAGTTGAGTTATAAGTGTCTTTTTTTTTAATAACTTTTTGTGTAATTCTTTGTATAAATAATAATTTATATTACCCTAGTTTATAGTATATACCTTGTTATTCAATTAATCTCATATGCTAGTATATTTAGGTGCTTCTGAGTATTTTGTGCTTAAAAATGTGGTGTGGACCTTTACATTTACATTTCCATCATTTGGTCTATGAGTATATATTAACCTAAACTATAATAATGTAAAACAAGTAGGGACTAATATAAAATATATTTGACACCAGCAAACATTTGTGAAATAATGAGACTTAACACACATTGAAATTTTTCTTGCCATTTTCATATCAGGTCTAGCATGATGGTAGTTTATTTATATATTTATGAAAAGGAAAAAGTACTGTAAACACATGTATAAACTTGATATATAGGGATTTCAAGATCCATTTTTCTGTTTAATGCACTAAATGTGTCTCTTTATGTAGCTCATGATGGTGTATCAGATGAAAGTCCCATGTTTACGCAGCAAGACTTAAAGTTAGAAACAGAAATTCATGTAGAGAAACCAAAATCTTCTGGATCTGAAAGTGTCATGAGTAAGTAAAATAATTGTGGATAACCTTGTTTTTTACCTGTTCCAGTTGTCACACTGTTTTGTTTCCTTGCTGTATCTCTGAATAAGCTGTAAGCACCACAAGGATGGGCCCTGGACTATCTTGCTGCTAGTATATCCCCAGCAAAAAGCACAGTGCCTGACCCAAAACTGGCATCCAATAAATAGTTTTTGAATACATGAAAAAAAATTTAATTGTACTTATCAGAAGATCTTTTCTTTGGTTCATGAAGATGTATTTGGGATTTAAAAAAAAAACTAGTTCAAAGAGTCCTTGTATTTATTTTTTGCACAGCATAAATGCAGGAGATATTGTAAATCCACAGTTCCCCACAAAACTTATACAATTAGCAACTGAGAATCTATGTTCTTATGATTTCCATCACTCATAACTGTACAGTCTTTGGCATTCATTCCATAGTAGCAAAGAACCTTATCTCAAAGCACCAAGTTTCCAGGCATTACTACAAACGTTGTTTTCATTCTCTAATACATGGTTAAATTCCTATGAAGCAAATCCCAATTCATCTTCACCTTCAATGGATAAGGGAAAACAGTTAGGAAGCCAATGTCATTCTTACATCTAAAACTGATTCTGCCTCTTTACCTTAATATATTTCCTTCCATGAACATTTTAACTTTAAATGTATTTATGTTTAATATGAATATAAGTTGAAATTAAAAAAATCTCTTTCAGATTCATCTAACAGTTTGGGACATTCATATCCATTTTTCTGAGGAAAACAAAAACATGGTCTCTGGTGTAGAGTATTCTGGTAGTGTTTATTTAAAAGTTCAATTTAGCATTTTATAGCAAAGTAATATGGACTGTTGGTCCAAGTTATAGATTTAAAGATTCCTTAATTTATGTAGACTAAGATACTAAGCTAATTCCCAAAGTATTTTATAGATGTATGTTTTCATTTTTAGAACAAGTAGGGTTCCATGGGCACTTTTAGGATCTTGCTCACATCATTCCTGTATATCCAGAGACTTCTGGATCCACTCACAGACAAAGAAAATTGGTTACATCTGCTGAAAGCATCAACAGGAGTCTGATACACAGACACAGATTTCATTCTTACAGATAGTGGAAATGAAGTCTTTAAAACTGTGCTCATGATAAGCTGAAGGCTGAGCTAGTTCTTTAAGCATGTTAGTCTGTTAGTCCTTTAAGCACGGACCTTTGGTACAAAGACCGCATCCTCTACCTGTAGTCAGTGACTTGAGGGCCTCCTCTAGAGTTTGCACTGCATTGGTGGCATCTTCATAGTGCAAAGCTCTGCCAGCATATTTGCTATATTTCTGAGCGCTAGCAGAATCCTCTGATGTCAGTTGGATATCTCCCTGGGAAACTGCAGTACAGTGCAGAATCAATGCCTGGAGTAGTCTGTGGAGTAGGCTGGGTAGTGTTACTTGTTAAACCTATGCTGTGAGGAACTTCTGCTGGGATGTTAGCTGGAATGCTGGATTGTGGGCACCAAGAGGAATTTGTGTTCCAGTGTAGCTGCCTGATGTCATGTTGCTTGGGTTCTAAGTTGAAGATCATGGCTGAGGTGGCTGAGTGGGCAGAGAGGTTGCTCCTATATTTTCATTTTTCTTCAGCATCAGTATATTGTTCAGTCCCACCAGTCCCAAGTCTCTCCATTCTTTAAACAATTATATGTTGTCTTTCACTTTCCATACATTTTCATCAGTGAGTTCTCCAACACTGTTTTGACATCTGTTAAAAGTCTAGCAGTGTAGCGGGACTTGATCATGTTTTTGTGAAATCACCCAGCATGAACTTCATTATCTCATACAAAACACTTTCAAAGCATAGTTCTCCAAACGGACAGAGACTGCAGCCATGAAATTAAAAGACACTTGCTCCTTGGGAAAAAAGCCATGACAAACCTAGACAGCATATTAAAAAGCACAGACATCACTTTGCTGACAAAGATTCGTATAGTCAAAGCTATGGTTTTTCCAGTAATCATGTGTCGATGTGAGTTGGACTGTGTAAGGAAGGCTGAGCAACGAAGAACTGATGCTGTCAAACTGTGGTGCTGGAGAAGACGTTTGAGAGTCCCTTGGACAGCAAGGAGTTTAAGCCAGTCAATCCTAAAGGAAATTAACCCTAAATATTCATTGAAAGGACTGGTGCTGAAGCTCCACTACTTTGGCCACCTGCTGCAAAGAGCCGACTTATTGGAAAAGACCTCGATGCTGGGAAAGATTGAAGGCAGGAGGAGAAGGGGATGACAGAGGATGAGATGGTTGCATGGTATCACCAATTCAATGGACATCAGTTTGAACATACTCTGGAAGATAGTGAAGGACAGGGAAGTCTGGCATGCTGCAGTCCATGGGGTTTCAAACAGTCAGACACGACTGAGTGAACAACTACTATTTCTTGAGTAACATTCATTATCACCCAACTGTTTAAGAACTTTTAACTGATCCATTAGCTTTGATAAAAATTTACGGCATTTAGTTTTTACTCTCAATCTTCATTCCAGTTTGCATCACATAGAAAAGACAGTAATAAAACCACAGAGTCTTGCTTGTCCAGCTTATGAGCCATCCTCAGATGATGATGTATGCTCCTAAACTGTAGAAGCAGCGGAGCAGGCGTGGCCATCTCTACTCCAGGAATCCTATCTGGTCATATTTTTATAAAAATTTTACAGTGACATAAAGTGGGAATGCCCTTAAATAATTAGAGAAAAAGCAAAACTATTGATAACTTTTGGTTGGAATTTCTTCTCTTGAGACTATTTCACAGTCATGGGTCATGTGCTCAGTACACACTAAAGCCCAGTAATGGACTAATAATTTTCTCCTAAAGGCTGTTTTACCTTTCAGCCAGCTATTCCTAGAGATGATGAATTTAAAAGTCCAACTGATGCCTCTGGCAGTGTCCTTCTGCCTTAAACTCCAATTGGTGAATAGAGAGGTTGCTGATATCTGTTAACTCAAAAGGCAAAATGGATCAGAGGGGCCGAAAAAAAAGGAGGTAGCCTGGGGCTTGTTGAAGGCCTTCCAGGTCATCCTTTTGGCTGTGGCCCCATTGAAAGGAAATGACCTTTCATGTAACCCTGTAAATGGTTGGCATTAAGAATGCAGGCAGGTGACAAGTTCCATCAGTCCATGGACCTCCTTTTTAATTGTTAGAGTGGTAAGGGTCAGAAGCAGTCTTCTCCCATGGAATGAGACAATGAGACACCACATCCTGATCATGCCCAGAAATTTCACTTGGGTGCTTGTATGCTTTCTGTAAAAATGGCCCAGCAAGTTGCCACCTGTGTGTCAGCAGGATGTTCAACCCTTGCTGGGTAGCTCTCTTCTCTGGACTTAATAGAGTGATATTATCAGCAGAGTAGAAAGCAAGCCCCTCCTCTAGTAGTGGAAGATTTTCCAGGTGATATATTGCTGACAGGAAATTCAAGTAGCATTGTGAAAGGGTGTGAATGGTGAATTGTCATCATTCCACACAAAGATGAACTGATCTGAATCATCCCTGTTGGGAGGAATATGGAAAAGGGCCTTTGTGGCATCAGTTGCTGCCTAACAAGTTCCCACACTCTGGACAAGTTTTTGCAACAGTCAGATACTACTGTTGCCAAGGCTGTTCTGTTGACTGAACAACCAGAATCAGTTGAGTAACTGTGAACTCTTAATCTGGTATACAAGTCAGCTGAGTTACTGAATAGGGATATAATCTCAAGGGGACTTCTTCTGCATTAAGCTTAGAAAAGAGGGCAGTTATTTCTGTTTCTCTCCCAGGCAAATTTTTGAGAGACTGGTGCTCAAATTGGATAGGTTCAGAGTCTTCCTATGCTCCTCTAACATGACCTTAACTGCAGTTAAGCAGGGCTTAGAAGAATCTGAGTAAATTGCACATAGACAATACAGTGGTACTCTGCTGGAGAGCCCCATGGTAAATAAATGGGAAAACAGTGTCAGATTTTATTTTGGGGGGCTCCAAAATCACTGCAGATGGTGATTGCAGCCATGAAATTAAAAAATGCTTACTCCTTGGAAGGAAAGTTATCACCAACCTAGATAGCATATTAAAAAGCAGAGACATTACTTTGCCAATAAAGGTCCATCTAGTCAAGGCTATGGTTTTTCCAGTGGTCACGTATGGATGTGAGAGTTGGACTGTGAAGAAAGCCGAGTGCCAAAGAATTGATGCTTTTGAACTGTGGTGTTGAAGAAGACTCTTGAGAGTCCCTTGGACTGCAAGGAGATCCAACCAGTCCATTGTGAAGGAGATCAGTCCTGGGTGTTCATTGGGAGGACTGATGCTGAAGCTGAAACTCCAATACTTTGGCCACCTCATGGGAAGAGTTGACTCATTGGAAAAGACCCTGAGGCTGGGAGGGATTGGGGACAGGAGGAGAAGGGGACAACAGAGGATGAGATGCTTGGATGGCATCACTGACTCAATGGACATGAGTTTGGATAAACTCTGGGAGTTGGTGATGGACAGGGAGGCCTGGCATGCTGTGATTCATGGGGTCACAAAGAGTTGGATACGACTGAGCGACTGAACTGAACTGAACTGAAGCAGGGCCTAGAGGAATGTGAGTAGAGTGGCACATAGACAATACAGTGGTACTCTGCTGGAGAGCCTTATGGTGTCCACTGGCTCTTCTGGAGACACATTAGCCTGACGGACAATGTGCCCTGAGCCCTGAAAGAGTCTCCCTAGCACCTCTCAAAGTGCTCCTTCCAGAAAAGAATTTTACTTTATCGACTACTTTGTTCTTTGCACTAATCTGGCAGAGAAAGCTGCCTGTTTTTGCCTTGGTCAATTAAGAGAGGAAGCCAAACTGAAAGTAATAAGCTTTTGTTCACTTCCTTTAATAGTATAAGCAAGTCTAAATGGAAAGGGCCCCAGCTCCACCACTGTTTAATTTTCTGCACAGAAAGAAAACAGGCAAGGGTCAGATGTATCAATACTGATGGGAGTAAGGGCTGAGGGAAGATGATGTCATATCTGAGGGAGCCCCAAACAAAAGACTTCCTTACTATGGCCCCAATAACCTTGTGAATACTGATGTAGAATGGCTAGGAGTGTAAAAGTCCTGAATACTGAGTAGTAACCAAGAAAACTAGCTTCAGATTCCCCCAGTAAAGTGGTCTGTAAGAGGCACCTGAAAAGTACAAATATCAGCTGACCACTCTCCCTTTCATAGGGAGGCCTCTAATAGAGGCAGCTGGTATAGGAATCCAGAATGCATAAGAACATGGCAGTGGATGGGCCTTGGTCCTCCACTGCAACTACTCTCAGTGTTTAAAGTTCACTGGATATGTATCAAATTTGGTATGGGGTGAGAAGTATTCCCCCATGAGAACTGTCAGGTGGATACTTTGTAATCTGTGGTTGGACCTGCAAAGTCAAACATAGGATTTTGGCCTGGAGTTGAACTCGTGTATATACATATCTGTACATATACATGCACATAAACATACATTCATACACCTACACTGAGTGTCCTTTGTGTTTTTTGCAGTAGAGACTGAAATAAGATTGACACTTTGGAGTGCTTAGAGAAAAGCTTGGCCTGCTTTGTATTTTGGGGGGATAGAGAAGGGAAAATCTCTTTTCCTTGAAGCTTGGAATGAGACAGTGTACCCCTTTCCACTTTGCCCCTAGGGATTTCAGTTGGATACTAGGTCCTTGTACCATCTTTACATTAATGACTCAAATGTGGTCACATGTGGGTCATCATGGAATCCAGTCCTTGTTGGGTAGTACACTTGTTTGGGTCCAGTGGAGGATGCCATCCATAGAGCGGAAAGTGAAAAAGTAAAAGTGAAGTCGCTCAGTCATGTTCAACTCTCTGCAACCCCACGGACTGTAGCCTACCAGGCTCCTCCATCCATGGGATTTTCCAGGCAAGAATACTGGAGTGGGTAGCCTATCCCTTCTCCAAGTGAAATTACAAACCCAGGAATTAAACCCGGGTCTTCTGCATTGTTGGCAGAGGGCTTACCATCTGAGCCAGCAGGTAAGTCCAATATAGTGGAAGGTTAGTACTTGATCTTGGAGCAGGGCTTTTTCTAGGTCATGGGCTTGTGGAAGGACATTAAAGGTATATCACAACCCATTTCCACATAAGGCAAACCATCGTGGCCATTAGTGTGAACAGGAATGTTAAAAAGGGCAGCATTTGTGATATCAGTTGCTGCATACTTACTTCACTGTACTTGGGCAGTAAATCTCTATGAAGGTCACAGGAGCATGAAATACCAGGTTCCAGAGCTATACTGTGGCATTGAGCCAACAATAATCAGTCAAGTCTCTAGGCATCCCAAGGCCTTACACACAGACTGAAAGTGTGTATAAATGGAGAAATAACTTTGTGGAGAACTTTAGTTTCATTAAGCTCAGCAATAAGCACAGTGAACTGTTTTGGATGGTAAAGGTGCTAGACACTGGTAGTCTGGTGGTGGTTTTTCATTTGCTAAGTTGTGTCCCACTCTCTCAGACCCCATGGACTGCAGCATAGCGGCCTTCCCTGTCCTTCACTGTTTCCCAGAGTTTGCTCAAACTCATGTCCATTGAGTCAGTGATGCCATTCAACCATCTCATCCTCTGCCACCCCCTTCTCCTCTTGCCCCAAAATAGTTTTCCAGATGCCCTATTAAAATGACAACCCACTCCAGGATTTTTTCCTGGGGAATTCCCTGGACAGAGGAGCCTGGCAGGGGGCTTTCTAAGGGGCTTCCCTGATAGCTCAGTGGGTAAAGAATCCTCCTGCAGTGCAGGAGACAGGGGAAATGCAGGTTTCATCCCTGGGTCAGGAAGATTCCCTGGAGAAGGAAGTGACAAACCACTCCAGTATTCTTGCCTGAAAAATCCGTTGGGCAGAGGAGCCTGATGGGCTACAGTCCAAAGAGTCACAAAGAGTCAAACACGACTGAATGATTTAGCACGCATGCACACACTTTGTGACTGTTCTTTTTAAATAACACATTTACTCATTTGTTAGACTTTAAAAATTATTTTGAAATTGTTTTTGCCTATTTGTATGGGGGAAAAAAGCCTACTAGAAATATTTTGTCATGTGTTGACAATCTCTCCACACTTCTGCCCATGAATGAGTGTATGTGTCAAATATTGCATTGATGAGTTACTTGAATTAGTACTTTTTTTAAGTAGGTTAATTTCTCTAAGTTTGCTTTCAGTTTTAGTTTCTCTTTTTTGTTTTAATTTTATTTTTGAAACATGTGGAACCTGAACTTGCTTCCAAAAGTAAATACTATGCAAAAAGGTATACTTAAAGGAGTACCATTTCTTCCTTAGTTTGCTCCCTTGCATCCTGTAGGTAACCAGTTACATTTTTTTCTATCTCACTTGTGTGTCATTTTGTAAAGGTAACACTCTCTCTAATTCTCTCCCTTCCTCTTTCTTATTTATTTCCTTTTTTCCCCATCTTCTTTACCTGAACGGTACCATACATTTCTCCTTTTTTTTTTTCTTCTCTTAATATTATCTCCTTGAAATTCCTCCAAGTCGGTTTATAGAGGTTCATTTGATTCCTTTTACATCTTTACATACATCTGATGGTACCATATTATTTAGCATAATTTACAAAGTTTATGGGATTTCCCCGATAGCTTAGTTGGTAAAGAATCTGCCTGCAATGTAGGAGACCCTGGTTCAATTCCTGGGTCGGGAAGATCCCTTGGAGAAGGGAAAGGCTACCCACTCCAGTATTCTGACCTGGAGAATTCCATAGACTGTACAGTCCATGGGATCGCAAAGAGTCAGACATGACTGAATGACTTTCACTTCACTTCACAAAGTTATAGTACATATATTAGCTTGTTTATCCAATTTCCCATGCATGAACATTTATATGCAATTACAGATAGTACTGTAATTAGCAAATAGTACACATGTGTTTTGTTGGTTGGCCTCTGAAGTCTATGTAATCTATAAAATATAAATAACCTAAGAAAAACAGAGACAAATACAAACTATATGTAATGTCTGGAAATATTTATGAAATAATGAGAAAGATTCAAAACACATCTATTAAAACTCCTTTCACACTGTTATCAGATCTAGCATTATGGTAACTTCACTATAACTTCAGAAAAATTAGAATATTTCTGTTTGCTTATTATGAATTTGATATGTAAAGATTTCATAGTAGTTGTATTTTTCTATTCAATGGGCTAACTATATCTCTCTTGTAGCTCATGAAAAAATATCAGATACAAATCTTATGCAAGACCATCGAGAATCAACGTCAAAAAGCCAAATGATGGTAAAGCAGCAAGAAGAGAAAAAACACAGTAAGCATACTAATTACAGATAACTTTAAATTATTTAAAATTAATTACAGCCAAAGATCTTGTTCTTTGCTTCATAAATTGTGTGTGTATACATATATATAGTAGATATTTTATACTTTGACCTAATGTATAAATATCCTAAGATAACTAGAGGATAAAAACTAAAGTTGTGAAATACTTGGTCAATATTTCTGATTGTCATATTTTTCTTAGTCATGGGTCATGCACTCAGTATCCACCAAACCAATAAAAGGAACATAATTGTCTTCAAGAGGTATGTACCTTTCACCCTACTCCAGGAAGTTAGACATAGAGAGTCCCAGATTAATCCCCTGTCCTGTGGAATTGCCATCTTCCAAAGACTAACTGATGAAAAGAGAAGTGCTGAGAATTTTATCTCAAAATCAGATCAGAAGTTTCAAGGGAAAATGTGACTGGGAACATTTTTTGTTTGCCTCCAGACCATCCTATTAGTTGAGATCCTTTCATATGCAGGTGTTTTTTCTGAAACTTAGTAGATGGTTGCAATCAGGGCCCATGAGGGGAATGTAAGAGTGCCAGTAGCAGAGTAGTTCCACAGAGTTTTGATGGGCTCTCATTTGTTGTGACTGACAGGACAAACTTTGGAAGATATCTCCTCTAGAATGATGTGTATTGCCTTTTGCTACAAGGTCCTTGTCCATGCTTCTGTTAATGACCCTGCTATGCTGCTAAGCATGGTCAGCATGCATCTGGCCTGGTGGGATAGTACATATGCCAGGATGCACCAGGAGGATGAGGATGTCAACAATAGTGTGGAAGCCCAGTGCTCCACCTGGGAATGGGACTTCTTCCTGCTCATGGCATTATGCAGGGACATTAAAGGTGTATTCCAACCTTTTAAGCAAAAAGCAAACTGATCATATCATCTGTGTGGACAGAGACTTGAAGGAGCATTTGCAACATGAATTCCTTCATACCTATTTCCCTCAGCTGGGGCAAGAGCCTCTAGGATGGTCACAATGTCAGGTAAGGCCAGTGTCCCCATCTGTACCACAGAACTGAGCTCTAGTACAGTAGTTCTGTAGTCCAGTCTAGGCACACAAGGCTCTTCGCATAGGTTTACTTAGTTAAACTGAATGGAGAAATAATCTCACAGAGACATTTGCCTTATTGAAAGTCCGCAAAGATGGCTAGCAGTTGTTTTTCCTTTGCTTAGTAGTTGATCTGAAGACATGTCTCTAGGCACTGTAGTCTGGTAGGTTTGCAGTCTTCCATGTGTGCCACGGAAATGATCCTGAGTGCAGCAGTGCTCATCACGGCTTGGGGCTTATGTGACTTCGAGTTCACATAGAAAATACATCTGTACTAATGATGTATTCAGGGTTTCCCAGGTGGCACAAGTGGTAAATAACCAGTCTGACAATGCAGGAGATGCAAGATGTGCAGATTCATTTCCTGGATTGGGAAGATCCCCTGGAGGAGGGCATGGGAACCCACTCCAGTATTCTTGCCTGGAGAATGCCACAGATAAAGGAGCCTGGCAGGCTACAGTCCATGCGGTTGCAAAGAGTCAGATATGACTGAAGCAATTTAGCATGCATGCAATTATGTGTTCAGCAGTGGGAGCTATGGAATAGAAGTTCATGATGCCTAAAGGCACCCACATGCACCATGGTCAGGTTTAAGTGAGGGTCAAAATGCATTTCTTGTGTTCCTCTCATCCTGGTGTCAGAGTTGTGGAGATAACAGTCCTTGGTAAACTAGAAGCCAATCTTGGGGACTAGAATCCCTAATCTTGCTTATTTTGAAAAGCCAAGTGTTCTGGGTAAAAATAAAGTTGTCAGATTCATCTTAAGGTCACTGGGGGGAGCACGTTATTAGTAATAAGTTCATCACCGTTTTGAGTCTCATGGGGCTGTGTTGGCCACCATGGCTCGCTTCTTGGCACAAAATGTGTGCTAGAGAGTCCATCCATCCCTTCCTTGAACCTCCATTGCTGGGTAACTAGACAATGTTTCCAGTGGCAAGGAGCTCACCATGTGTGGGCAGAAGTTTTCAGAAACCAAATGTCAGCCAGAAGAGGAAGGAGATTGTCTCAGGTGTTTGTGTGTTTTCTTCCTCATCCCCTCCCTTGTCCTCCTTGGACACAGTGGCCCCTGTTAGGAAACTCAGAACCAGGGGTTCTGTTGAGACACAGCCAGCAAGGTGTCTGTTTCGCTCACTAAGTTCACAAGGGTAGCTCCTTCACAATGGTGGCTGTATAGTCTCCTCAGGTTTCTGGTCGAATGAAACTGAGAAACCTGGATTCTTTTTCATTAGGCTTGAATTTCAGAAACTGGCTATATCACGGAGTATCCATCATTGTCAGAATAGCATGAGAACAAATAGTAGTTACTGGGTGTGGCTCAGTCAGCCATGTCTGCAGGGACTCTTGTGACCCAGTATATTGTTTTTGATTTACATTTCCTGTATTTCTTGTTTTAAAAATAAGGATCTTTCATCATCTTTTTTTTTTCAAATTTCCTTTATTCTTTCTTTCCTTCCTTCTTTCTTAAACCATACTTGGTATTCCCTCTTTTAGGTTTTTTCCCGCATTACACACTGTATCCTGGAGATGCTTCCCAATCATTTCATCGGGATCTTTATCATTCCTTTTATACTTGTTTGTACAGCTCCATGTGCACATTGCACCCTACAGTCTATATTTTTATACTTTACATATGATACTTTAGCCTACCAGTCTCCTATGCTTTATGTTTAAGTGGTTTTAATATTTTACAATTACAAATATTATGCTATGAAAAACCTTGTACATATGTATTTTCTTTGTTTGGTCTGTTGAATTATATTAAGAAAATATTGAGGCAACTCAGAAAATGAGAAACTTAACAAACATAAAACACATTTGAATTCCATGAGTATTATTTTTATGGTAAAGTAACTTTCACACACACTCATTAAGACTCTTCTCATAGTTTTCATAGCAGACTTCACAATATGGTGATTTTCTTCTTAACTTCATAAAATGAGATAACTGCTGCTGTTTTCATTTTATAAATTGTAAGCTAAACATTTCACAGTAGATATTTATTTTTATTTAGTTCACTAAATTCTTCTCTTTTTGTAGCTCAAGATGAAGTACCAGATGGAAATCATATGCTTGACCATCAAGAGGCAATGTCAGAATCAGAGATTCAAGTGAAGAAAGAAAGTTTTCACACAGGGGAAAGATTTACTAGTAAGTGCAAAAACTACAGAAAATTTTATATTGTTTTAAATTAAACTCATCAGGAGATATTTTTATTTTGGTTTATGAAAATGTATTTGTTGAGCATATATTCATATTGAAATATTTCACTTTGACTAAAATCAGATACCATGAGATACCTAGAGAGAAAAGCAGAAATACTGATACCATTTGATAGAAATTTTTGTCCTTAAGAGCATTTTGTGACCAGAAGATTAATGGCCCAACACCCAGTAGCAGGTGAATACCTATGTCTCCAAAGTAGTGTGCCTTTCAGCCAGCTCCCAGTAGTTATAACTACAGAAGCCCAATGGATGCCTCTACCCATGATAGGGCCCTTGTGCCATAGTCTCCATTAGCAAGGAGATGTTTTGGAGATCTGTAAATCAAACATCTGATGAAGGTCAGGAGGCCTGTTGGAGGGCCTTTGGGGCACTCTCTTGGTTGTATCCTCACTAAAATGAAGCAGCCTCTCTGGTAACCACATAAATTGGTTTCATCAACGACTCTCTACGGGCAAATGAGAATGCAGGTGGTCGAAAGGGTTGTGCTATTTCCTGGGCCCAATTATTTTTTCAGAGTTGAATCACCCAAGTTTGGCAGTCTTGTCCTCTGGAATGAGAATCATGCCCCTTAGAGATCATGCCTGGGAATTTCACTATGGTATCAGGTATCTAAGTGTGTGTACTAATGATTCAGCCAGGAGCCACTGGTAGATCCACACAGTGTCTAGTCCTTGTTGGGTGGTGTCCTTTGTGGTGGGAGGGCTAGTTGAGTGAAAACTAATCCTCCCTGTAGGAGCAGGCCACTTAGAATTGGTGACCTCTTCCCTGTAGCTCAAATGGTAAAGAATCTGCCTGCGAGGCAGGAGACAAGGGTTCAGTCCCTGCGTTGGGAAGTTCCTCTGAAGAAGAGAATGGCAATCCACTCCAGTATTCTTGCTTGGAGAATTCCATGGACAGAGAAGCGTGGCAGGCTGCAGTCTATGGGGTCGCAAAGAGCCAGACATGACTGAGCGACTAACAGAGTCCTACACACAGACACAGTCACTAATAACAGATATTTGAGCAGTGTGGTGGCCATGTGTAGGACATGACAGCTCAGGAAGCTAGAGTTCTGAAACAGCATTGGCACAATTACTTATTTACTTAATCCTGTAATGCTTCTGAAATGGTTTCAGAATAGCTCTGAATACACCATTACAAAAGCAAACCAAGTTATAAAATGATTGCATGACTTGTCAGTTGTTCACCTCCCCCCAAATCACCCCACTTCCATGTCCAAGACAGGGTTTTTAGTGAATATTGGTTTGAGGAATTACTGCTTTTATTCTCCCTGCAGTAGTTTCAATTCTTTAAGTTTGCTTTTTCTTTCCATTCCATCTTATTTGCTTTGGCCTAATTTTTATTTTTAAATACATAGAGCATGAAACTACTTCCAAAAGTTAACAATATACAAAGCAGTATGCTTAGAGGCTTCTCAGTCTTCCCTCTCCTCTTGTAGGTATCTATGTTCATCATTTTGTGATAGTTTTCCTGTCTTTACTCTATTTTTTGTCTCACCTTTATTTTTTCTCATTTCTGTTTTATTACCCAGTGTTTGCATATTTGTTTTCCCCTCCAGTGTTTTTTACTTAATATTATTTCTAGAAGTCCCTCCAAGTCATTATATAGAGTTCATTTTCACACAGAGTATACTACTACATATAGCTGTTTGTACCACAGTATTTACCATAATTTATATTATACCACAGTGTGCAATGCATACCTTA